TTCATTTGAAACAAAATAAACACTTTTGAAAACACCTTTGAGATTATTTCCAAAATCGACAATATTTGAATCTTTTAAAACGATTTTTGTCTCTCTTGAGACAGTTTCTCTTGAAAAAAATCTTTGAGTTTGTTCCTTTTGAATAAAAATCTTGGAGTTTGTTCCTTTTGAATAAATATCTTTGAGTTGTCTCTTTTGAAAAAAATCTTTGAGTCTATTTATTTTGAAACAAAGTTTTGTCTCTCTTGAGACGATTTCGTGAAAAATCTCTGAGTCTGAAACAAAGTTTTGTCTCTCTTGAGACAATTTTTTTGAAACAAAAATCTTTGAGTTTGTTTCTTTTGAAACAAAATTTTGTCTCTCTTAAGATAATTTCTTTTGAAAAAAATCTTTGAATCTGTTTCTCTTAAAATGAATTTTGTATTTCTTGAGACAGTTTCTCTTGAAGTAAATCTTTGAATATGTTCATTTTGAAAATCTTTGAGTTTGTTTCTCTTAACAAAATCATCTTTGAGTCTATTTCTTTAAAAACAAATGTTGTCTCTCTTGAGACAGTTTCTAATTAAAAACTAACTTTTGAGATTGTTTCATTTGAAACAAATTTGGTCTTACTTAAGATGTAATCCATCTTTGAATCTGTTTCTTTTGAAACAAAATTTTATCTCTTAAAGACAATTTCTTTTGAAAAAAAAATCTTTGAGTTTGTTTCCTTTGAAAAAAAAAAAAAAAAAAAAAATTTTCGAGACAACTTCTTTTAAAACTACCCACCTTGGAGATTGTTTTTATTAAAACAAATTTTGACTCCCTTGAGGCAGTTTCTCTAGAAATACAAAATCTTTGAGTTTGTTTCACTTAAAATAAAACCATTTTTGAGTCGTTTCACTTGAAACATTTTCTCTTGAAACATTTTCTCTTAAAACAAGATCATCTTTGAGTTTGTTTCTCTGGAAACAATGTTTTATACCTTAAAACAATTTCTTTTGAAGAAAAATCTTTGAGTCTATTTCTCTGGAAACAAAATTTTGTCTCACTAAGATACCATTTTCTGAAAAACAAAGTTTTGTCTCTTATGACAATGTCTTTTCAAAAAAAAAAAAAAAAAAAAAAAATCATTGAATCTCTTTCTTTGGAAACAAAATTTTATGTCTCTCGAGACAGTTTCTTTGAAAAAAATCTTTGAGTTTGTTTCTTTGTAAACAAAAATTACCATCTTTGAATCTGTTTCCCTTGAAACAAAATAAACATCTTTGAGAACGTTTCCCTTAAAAACAAATTTTGTCTCATTTGAGACAATTCCCTTTAAATGCTATCTTTGAGATCGTTTCTCTTGAAACGAATTTTGTCTCCCTTGAGATAATTTTTATCAAAATTCAATTTTTGAGTTTGTTTCTACTGAAACACATCTTTGAGTTGGTCTCCCTTGAAACCATTATTCCTAAGATGGCCAGTAGTCCTCATCACATAGGAACCGTGTCATCCCCAGACCAGATCTCCTCATCACGTAGGAGTCGTGTCAACCATGGATAACCAGCCGTCCTCATCACGTAGGAACCGTGTTATCACCTTTAGATGGCCAGAACTCTTCATCACGTATGAGCCGTGCCATTCCCCAGACCAGATCTCCTCATCACGTAGGAGCCGTGTCAACCATAGATAACCAGCCGTCCTCATCACGTAGGAACCGTGTTATCACTTTTAGACGACCAGAACTCTTCATCATGTATGAGCAGTGTCGTCCCCAACAACCAATATTATCCAATTTCTATGTATAAATGGAAGAGAACCAGACAAAAACGTGTTGTCTTATCATCTTTGCCCTATTCTTGTTAACACAAGAATGTGCAAAGAGGGGCAGCTGTAGACACCCGTTTTTGCCCGGGTTTTTTATCGTTATTTATTATTATTATTATTATTATTTATTATATATTATTAATATTACATTTTACATATTTGCAGGCCAAAGCCCAATACAACAAGGCCCAACAAGACCCGGTTCAGGCCCAATACTCAAACCAGGCCTGGATTTGGCCCAAGTAATTAGGGTTTCAAAACCCTAAATCATCCAGCCGCCGCCAGCAACAACACATGGACAGCCGCGCCGCCGTCACTGTTCCGGCCCGTCTCGCTCCACTCCGATGGTCCAGCCGCCGTTCCCGCGCCACCATCGTCATCTACAGTAAACCACAGCAACCCCATCAGTCCCAAATCAACCCAAATCAGAAAAAATATATATATATCCAAACCCTAAAATATAAAATGCCTAAATCCCGGTAAATCGGGAAATTGGTCACCCTAAATCAACAACCCATAATTTCCCCTATTCCTAGACATCATCATCTCAACAGAATCCAACAAGCAAAAAGGAAGGATAAAGGACCAAAGAGAAGAAGGAGAGGGGGGGGTATTCGGGGAACCAAAAAAAACAAAAGGGGAGAGCATTCGAAATTTAAAAAAACAGAGGAAAGGAAAAGGGAGAGGATCGAAAGGTTACCTTTCAAGCAGTCATAGCCGGGGTCTTCACCGAGCCAAGGTCACCGAGGTTTGAAGGTAACCACTGGTTTTTAGGTCTAGAGTGAGGGGCTTGGGTTTTGGGTGATTTAAGTTTGGGGTTTTAATTTGAGGGTCTTTAGGGGTCGATTTGCTCCCCATGGCCACCGTTACGGTGGCCGGGGAGCCTCTGTTTTCTTGTTACGGCGAGGAAGCAAGAGGAAACAGGAAGAACAGTTTGGGAGGGAGAGAGTTCTCTCCTCTTTGGTTTTGGGGCACGGCTGAGAATGAGAAAGGTAAGGGTTTCGAAACCCTTATTTTGGGTTATAATTGAACCAAAACGACGCCGTTTTAAGGGGTCAGGGTATGCGTGTTTCAGCATCAAAGGGGTAAATAGCCTATTTGGTCCTCGCATCTTTGTAAACTTACGCGTGTTTCTTCAAGGTTTGGGGGGGTAAATCATAGTTTAGGTCCCTCCTGGTTTGCAACATCTCATTTTAGCCATGAATGAAACTTTGTGAATTTTTATTTCGGGCATCTACTTTTAGTTGTTTTTATTTAAGTCCTGATTTCTTATATGTTATCATTTTTGTGTATATTCGAATTTGAACATTAAATTTATAAATATTTTATATTAGTCACTGTTTATTATTTGATTTAATTACTGTTCGGCCCTCTATGTTTCTGTTGATATTTTAATTTGGCCTTAATATTTATGCATGTTACATTTTGGTCACTCTTACAGTTTATATTTGTATTTTTGTATACCATGTTCATATAGTTTGTATTTTGGTCACTAGATCTTCTGTTGCTAATATTTTTATAAATTTGTACATTGTATTCTGCAGTTATATATATATCTTATTTTAGTCCCATTATTAAAGGTAATATTATTATGGTCATACTTGACTTTGGTCCCAATGTTTGTAATAGTTTCATTTTAGTCACCAATCTTGTGTTTTGTGTATTTTCTTTGATGTTCAAATTTGGCTACAGAATTTATGAATTTTTGTTTTGGTCACTGTTGGTTATTTTGTGTTAAATATGGAATGTAGCATGTATGTTTACTTTTATGTCATTTTAATCCTTTATCATCATTTTTGGGTTATTTCCATTTCAATATTTGTATTATTTAACATTTGCTACTTGGGTTCTGATTTGTTTGTAATTATTGTTGTAGTCCCTAAGTTTCTATTTGTTTCAGTTTAGTCCTAAATTCATGATTATGCTATTTTATTCCTTTAACTTTCTGTTTTACTATTTTAGCCATGTAAGTTCATGTTTTGTCATTTTAGTCCCCGAAATTATCCTATGTGTTTATTTGATTTATATTTATATTTGGATTTGTAATTTCATCTTAGTTTACTTTAGTCCTTTATGTATGAATATTTATATAATGTAGTTATTTGTGAACATATATATTATTGGTTCTAGTTATCGTACATGTTTTATTTATTTTTTAATCGTGCTCATTTCCTTGGTTTTATTTATTTGTTAATATTATTAGAATACTTTCAAGAACATGTATGCGTAGAATGAGCGTGGAAAGTACCACTTGATCGAAGTGGTGTGATCTGGTACGGCATTTTAACGACATAGAAACTTGAAATAAGTCGAGTATATTTTGCTAATAAATTTGTTCAAACGATGCAATGTGTGTTATTTTAAATGACAATTTACTTTATTTATGTGAATGTAAATTTCAAAATTTTTAATTTGTATTCAATTCACGTTTTTAGTTAATCAATTTATTCGTATGTAAACATTGTTTTTAATTATATTCGATTTGTATTTTTAACATAATCAATGATAGAATATTCTTTTACGAATGAGAAATAGTTCGAGTTAGTTGTCCCGATGGAGGATTGCTAATTTCAAGATTTCCTTTCGAGTTAAAGAATTTTCTCTATTAAATAATTCGAAGCAAATTAATTAATGTTCGATAAATGGATCATAAATTAACTTTATATTCGATTTGTAATTTCCACCATTATGACAATGTGTAAGCGACACAGTACCAATTTTGGGCGTTGTGGGGGTGTTTACCCTTCCCCGCACGTAATCGACTCCCGAATCCATTTAAATGAATCTTTGGTAACGCAGACCGAATCTTGTCTTAAAAAATGATTTTTCTTAAAATTGTTTTAAAAGACGTTTTTAGGTATTCGACCTACCTAACCCAAAGGTTGATGGCGACTCTTTTTAATTTTATTCAAATCAATGCAAAATCACCCATTTTTCCAAATTAAAGTCATAATTGTTTTTAAAAATAATATTTAATTGTTCCACCTAAAAATGGTTATGACAAACATGTTTGCCCCTTCATCCAAATTATATCAAATACCATTAACATCTATAGAGAGAATCACTGTGCAACCAGGAATCCTAGGTTTTATTGAGAGAAGTTTTCATCTAAAGTAAGACAGTATAAAAGAGAGATCACAAAACTATAATTGAGATTCAACATCACAGGAGAGAAATATTTTACTTTGTAACAGAAGAATATTACTTACAAAGATTTGGGGCCGCTGATGCCTCCGAAACTGACTGCGAACAAGTGTAGCAAACTTTCTGATAATGCATTAATAATATCACAGTTAATATACTGTAACAACAATTGTTAACAAATGACTGGGTGTAGACTGACTAGGCAGTTAACAGCAACTGCTAGTTAAATAAGCTGGCAAGCAAGATTTAGGTTAAATTGCTTTGAACAAATTATCACGTACTCGTATGGCAGACTAACAAATTATAGTGGAAGTAAACTAGCAATTAAAGAACAAAAAAATGGAAAATTTAGAAGTTAGAAGTTAGAACTATGCCTATTATCTATAATGCACCTAGGATACAATACTTTAACCATGGCCTGAACCGAAATTGAAATTTCACGGTTATGTTGGAATGTTGCAGAAAACGTTTCAAGAAGAAACAAGCAAGTTCTTTATTTTCTTGATTGGATTACACGCATACCTCACAACATACAACACTGCTATTTATATATAACAATACAACAACTACCTAACTAACAACCTCATAACAGCTTAGCTTCTAGATTGACTTCTAGAACTTCTCTATGCATGGGCTGCATGTACATGCATGGCACTACACACACACTCTTCATTCACGTGAGCTGTATCATCATTCTCTCAACATTTTCCCTGCTTCTTTCCTTCTTCAGCAAATAAACAGACATTCACTTTGTCACGAAAACTAGCAAAGGTAGTTTTTGTTAAGGGTTTAGTCAAACCGTCAGCAACTTGATGAGTTGCTGGAACATAGCTCACACATAGTTGATTTGCAGCTTTTCCCTAACAAAGTACACATCTAAGTCTACATGTTTGGATTGTGAATGATATATTAGATTAGCACTTAATGCAATTGCACTGGTGTTATCATACCATATTATTGGTTGTTTGCTCTGATACCATGTTGGAATGTTGAAGAAAACGTTTCAAGAAGAAACAAGCAAGTTCTTTATTTTCTTGATTGGATTACACGCATACTCACAACATACAACACTGCTGTTTATATACAACAATACAAAAACAACCTAACTAACTAATAATCTCATACCAATTTAACTTCTAGAACTTCTCTATACATGGGCTGCATGTACATGCATGACACTACACACACTCTCTTCATTCATGTGAGTTACATCATCATTCTCTCAACATATTTGTAAACGTGAGTTGCATCATCATTCTCTCAACGTATTAGTGAGAATGTAAAAACTTCTACCCAAATGGTAATGTGAGGCAACTATATTGCCTGTGAAAAGAAACTAATTCACAGATTGGGAACATAACTTAATAAAAATATATGGGAGCATAGAGCATATAGAAAATTGCTTATATTGGAATTAAACTGATCATTTCCAGTGATTTAAACTCTAAAACTGACCAATAAAAAAAATCTTTGAAGCATGTCACAACTTCACCAAGTGATAACCATCATGTTTAAAGATCAAATATTATAAATAAATTCATCAATAACTCGCCATTCTAAGAACATGTTGTATTCCAACAGCACCAAAGGAATATCCACAAGGTAATATCATCGCATCATCCATGAGAGCTCCTCTGAAAATTTTTAAAAAAATAAATGGGGGAAAACATCACTCCAACATTTCCTTTTCCCTTCTTTCTGTAAGTAAAAATTTGTTCATAGGTAAGGATTGAACATCAATGCACCACTAAAAGAAAAATACAAAGACAAATGGAAGCCGTAAAAAACTATAAAACAATTTCAGATAAAAGAGAGCATATTTCTCCATAGTCCTACTAGTTTCCTATACATGCATTACTCTCTGTAGTAACCAATATTACTAATATCAACTTCCATGCAGCTCGAAATCCAAGGCAACAACAGATATTGGTAGAATTTGAATATTGGTTAATACATATAAAGATGTTAAACCAAATAATCACTAACCAACTAAATATATCTCATCAAATCCAACAACAAAGTAAGCAATCAAACCATATACCAACCATTCTTTCAACAGTTATAGTTACTTACGTTACAGGGTCGGATAAAATGGCACACAAGGGATCACCATACTCGCTTAAAAATGAAACATCTTTCCTCCAGGTAAACCCTCATCCACCACCACCAGTGTCTTCCGCAACATCCTTCTGCCCGCTAGCACCAGAAATAGAAGCTGACCCTTCTCCACCATGCGAATACTGTGTGAAATAAATATCCCCATCTGGATATGCAATTGTCACCGAATTTCGAAAACTATCACACTTTCTCAACCTTTGCCCCACATCTTTTTCTGCATCCTTCACTACCAGTTCTCTGCAACTCCCTTCCACTTCCCAATTATTGAAAATATATCAACAAAGTAAAATTATGTCAATTCTTTTAACTGTCACGTCATCATTTTCGTCAATGGTTAGTGACTTAATTAAAAAAAAAAATAATTATGTAGTGTAATTGATAAAATTGAAAGATTGGTGACAAAAGTAAAAGTATTAAATAATTAAGTGGCCAACTGTATAGTTTACCCTAAAAATAATAAGCAAATTGTGATCACTTCATTCTGATAGTGGAATGCCATTGGGTTCGTGGGTCTTCGATAACATATCCCAATTTGCTATATGTTACAAATATTTTGTTTCGGTCCTTGGGATAATATTGCAATTACACTGTAGATGTTTTATTGTTTACCAATTAAACCCCTCTAAAATTTAATTCCAACGCCTTATTAAATTGTCAACAACCTTTTAATCAGTAAATTTGTTAATATAAATCATAAATAGATAGTAACTTTTATAATTGTTTTTGACATTGTAACTTTTAGAACAAGAGTAATTTGAAAATTTTAGAATAAGAAGGGGAAATAATTCAATTCTTAGTCTCTTATTTTATTATTGTAAAAGTCTCAGCAACAGGGCCCAAGACATTCAACAATTTGGAAAACATTTAAAACACAATCTCAAATGCATAATCTTAACTGATACCACACTATTTGTATCTTTGTTATTAAGAACCAAATTAAGCAGCAGTGCATCAATTAATTAACCCTTCTGCAGTTCTTCCTGATTTCTCCCCTTGATCCAGTGAGGGGACTAATGTCTCCCATCCTGATCATGGCAGCAACAAAATCAGAGCTGAATGATCCCGGGTTTTTGCTGTAACCCCGGACGATTGAATCGGTGGAGCCACGGCCGTTGAACAACTGTTGATCGGAGTGTAGTAGACCTCTCTGGTTGACCAGGTTCTTGAAGTAGTTGTTGTCGAAATATGTGGGAGTCTGGATATCGAGCGGTGCCAAGTTGTTGTCGCCTGAGCCTGTTGCTCTCGGACAGGTTCTCTGCCTTGTTTGAGCGAAGGAGCGGTCAATGTTACTCTCGTTGTATATGCGTGCCCTGAATGATGTGCACCTTGCTTGTCCAATTGTGTGGCCCCCTAAATTATAACAACATTTACCATAAAGTACCAATACGAACAGATTTCGATAAAATTCAAGACAAGACGAGTAGAGAGGACAAACCGGATAAAGCGACTAAGTCCCTGGTGGAAAGTCCGAGAGCATTGAACCGAGAGATGAGTCGATTCAAGTTCGAAGTCGGAGGAGGAATGCCGTTATTAGCAGCAGCCCGGCTTGTAGTCTTTGCATCTCTCCTTCCGAGTTTCAGGTCCCAGTTGGGGCCTCCGAGCTGACAACAAAACAAAATGGATGTTCTGTTCAATTACTTGATTAAGAAGAAACCTTGAACGAATAAGAAACGGTTGAACGAAACGTTAGGAGTTTTACGATTTTAACAGAGTCTCTGGCAGTAATAGCCAAGATATCAGCACATGAAACTACACCGGGGCAAACTTTCTCAACCGCCGACTTGATGTCGTCTACCACATCGAATCCTCGGGCCGAGTTCCGATTCGGGACGGCATTTTTCTCTCCCGTGAAGGAAGATGTGTCATCCAGTAGCACCGATCCATCACATCCCTATAAAAGTCAAAGTTATTAGATATAACAGAAGTCAACTTGGTCCCTTCTTATTTTAACTTCTTTTGGACATGAGTCAAACAGTGATGCCATGTTCCCCAAGAAAAATATTACTAAAAAATCGTAACTTGAAGAAGAAAATATTACATTGACAAAGCAGTCATGGAAGAACAAGCGAAGCAGAGAAGCACCCATTCGGGCCTCTTTCATGATAGCCGAGTGAACGGTTGATTTCACAGTTGAAAACAACTCGGGACATGTTTTTGCGTAAAAATTGGTCGAAAGTTGAGCATCTGTGCTTCCTTGAAAACACACAAGGACAAGACACAGAGTCAGAGAAAAATAACATGAACCAGCAGGCGCCATTGAAATTACGTAGAGAACACGACACTGAAACTATGTTTTGGCTTGAAGACAGAACTGTGGGGAAACCATTGCTTTATATAGAGAACTTAATGACGTTCTCGAAAGGCTAATTCACACTCCGGGGCAGGTTGCCTAACACGTAGACAATTTCAACCAATGTGCATGGCGGTTTTTTTTATTTTACTTTTGGTCGGAAACGAATAATTTAAGTTTATAACAACATTATTTGACAGATTCTTTAATGAGTAAATATATGATACTTATCAAATTACAACGCGTTTTTTGTCTGTAAAGATATGTTCTTTCAAGGACTTACTTGGTGAGGTGTTGGACATCAATTTGTAAAGAAGAGCAGTGCTGTCGGTAGCAATTTTGTCAATGCCATGGCCCAAACAATATCTTTATTATATCTTTATTAAGTCTTTATGATTTGGTGATGACTTCAGATTTATGATTAACTAAGATATTGCAAATTTGGACTACTTATCGTCTGTATTATAATATACAGAGCAGGTGATAGTTATTAGGGGTCATTGGAGACTATCGTTTTTTGAAAATTTTAAATTATCGTATATTTTATATATATTTTTATTAATAATCTATTTTTATTATTTAAAATTTTCTAAATTTACTCCTTAAAATATTATAAGTTTATCTCTAACATAATATCATAAGTACGTCCCTGTATAGAATTTATTATATAGTTCAATTATTTAGTTCATTAAGAGTGTATTTTTATTAGGGAACACTTGGTTAAAGAACAAGTCTTGGCTAATGAACTTTTTTACTAAATAACAAGTCTTGGAGTAGATGAAAACTTTGTTAAGGAACAAGTCTTGATAAATATTTTTCATACGCATGCACTGAAAATGGTAAATTTTATTTACGAAATTAAAATAAATAATCCGTATCAATATGGTTTGATGATGTGATGTAATTTGTTGTGAGTGGATTGTGGCACAAGCTTTTCTAGATAGGATAATGCCCGCAGATGGAGGTTATTTACCAGTGAATGTCAAACAGATATGTTAGAAATAGGGGTCTAAATGAACCGAGTTTGAACGAATAAAGTTATGTCCATGCTCGTTTATTTATTTTTGAAGGTGTTCAGTTCGTGTTCGTTTAAATCTTCAATATCGTGTTCATGTTCATTTATTCATTTTTAAAGGTGTTTTTATTCATTTATTTATTGTTCATGAACGTGTTCGTTTATATATTCATCAACATGTTCGCTTAGTGTTCGCGAACAAGTTTGTTTATATGTTCATGAACATGTTCGTTTAGCGTTCATTTAGTGTTAGTTTAACGTTGTTTTAGTATTTGTTTATCATTTGTTTATATATTCCATTTTTAATTTCATTTGAAAGCTAAAAAATGATAAAATTACATCACTGGTGCTTAAACTCTTTAAAATTCATAGTTTAAAATATAACTTTTATTTTTGTGTTCTATTTAATCATTATCTTCACCATTATTTAAAGCGTAAAAAATAAAAGGAAAAGGAGATTCGGGTAAACGAATCTGTTCATGAACATAAATTAACGAGTTGATAAACGAGCTTGTTCGTGAACATAAACAAACTGAACACACCTTTATTCGTGTTCGTTAATTTATTAAATGAACATAAATTTTTAGTTCATATTCGATAAACAGTTCGTCAAACGCTATCTTCATTTACCCCTAGTTAGAAATTTTGTCAAAAAAGCATAACAGGTTCGGTTACCTGAATGTCCGCCCGTTTATGGGTAACGTGGAATTTGATCTTGTATTCCACAATGCACATGACCTGAATGTCAAAAAGCATACCTAATATCAATAAGTGCAGAGGAGACAACTTAGGTTTTAGCATTAAAGACAATGTTGTTGAGAGACACTGACCAAACTACACTTATAATGGGGTGGTTATTCCCTCGAGTATTTTTTTAGTTAAATTGTAATTTTCAGTTTTTATTAATTTTAAAATCAAATAAAATATTTTTTTGAAAAAAAAATTAGAATACAAAATGGCTTTAAAAACACAACTCTCCAAAAATAATTCTTTTATAAAAATATTGTTTTTAGAATTTTTTATTTGCATCTAAAAAAACTATCCATTTATTACATTTTTTACCCTTCTAATATAATTGTATGCGAATTTACTTAATAAAACAAAATTTATTATATTTTCGCTTTTTGCCGTAAGCCAGAATCGATATTTTTAAAAGAATAACCTTCATTAAAAATAATTTAATCCAAGTTAAAAACAATATCTTTTAGATCAATGATGAATTTCACCCACCAAATGAATATGGTGGAATTTTAATATGATATGAAAGTGACATCGTCAGATAGCTAATAATGTTTTAATGAAATTAAATAAATACAAATGAAAATGACGGCATTCAAACTTGGTCAAATCGGTGTTTAAATTTTAACAACCACAATCCATAAACTCTGACTTGTAGCTTAACAAAACAATACAAGAATGGATCTGTTTAGAAGTTGGATTTAAGATTAAATGCAGATGTATAATTACACATTTAATTAGAGATGAACTAATCATAATATTAAGCCGTGTTAAGAACACTTAATAACATCGTGTACATTGGATTTGTTGTTCTTGATAGTATTCATGAGAACAGATCCAAATTAAGACTCGATTCAGATTTGTTTTAATGCAACGTTGAATTTCTTTCGGAAAGCAATAATGTATTAATAGGCATGGCGAAAGAGCTTGACTTTTTTATCCAAAAAAGTTGGTGAAAAGAGGACGAGTTCTGAAACTTTTGCCACCTCAAACCAAAATCATTTAAAGAAGATACGACGGACTTCGAAATTTTAAGCAGAACATGGCATGGGGAAAGTTGAAGAAGATCAAAAGATAATTCTATTACAAGTTTCAATTATACAATCAACATAATAAAGCTTTAGATTAGAATATAAATTCTTTTATATATTTGAATCAAACCCAATTATACAATACACTAATCATACTATTTCAGACTACCTTTTGCTTTTTTTTTTTTTTTGTGGAGAAATGGATGATGTTTTGTTTTTCAGCTTGCAAGGCTACACGTAGAATTGACCTACTGGTAGGAAGAAGCGATAAGATTAATGCATGGTGGAAGAAGGGACAACTCAAACTTGTACTTTCTAAGTGACATATATGGTGGGTGGGTTGGTTGGTAGGAAAAAAAAGAGGATAAACAAATATTTAAGTAGTAGTATTTATGTTTTATATCGTAACTATGTTTTAAGAAATATGCTAATAAAAAGTAGTAATTTAACATTTATATTATGTATAATCCATATAATGTCTATAATCATGAGATCTACCTATGAGAATAATGTTGAATCCAGGATATGAAGAAGTCTCTAATCTTCAAATTTTATAAATTGATAAAGAGAATGAAAATATAATTTTGATGTGAAAAATGCCAAGAATTTTATCTTATGTTCCTTTAATCAATTTATAATTCATGACTATAACAATCTAATAATTTTTTCTCACATCAACTCTAATTAATTTATTATTAATAACAACGATAATTGAATTATTACGCCCTACAACTCTCGTCTTGTAATATGGATGATAGAAAAATAAGCAAGATAAATTAATCGATCTTTAAAATAAACAAGATAAAAACAACTATATATTTACCCTTTTATTTATAAAAAAAAATAAGATAATATATTTTGTTAGTAATACTTAAGAGATAAAAGTCAATAAGTGTTTACACAACTGTCAACTGTTACTTGAAAATTTTCTAATACTGAAAAATAATTTTTTCCTTTGTATTTATAGACATTCGGACTGTGCCAACTGTTACTTGGCGGATGCACTACGCCCCATAGGGGTCAAGTGTATTCCATTATTTTAGAAAAATGATTAATTTTAACTTAATGTGTTAAGGAAAAAAATATAATTTTTGTATATTTATTATTTAAAAAAAAGAAAATTAAATTTTGGACCCCCTTTCTTAAATTTTTAAATTCGCCACTGGTTACTTGAAATTATTATTAATTATTGTAATATTAATTATTTAACTATTTTTATTACATTATTTAGCTATTTCTAACCATATTTAAATCAACTTGAATCTATATATTTTTAGTTAGTTTTTTAATAAACTGTAATCCAGACTTTTTTGGATTGTTTATTATCGTCTATTACAATTGTTATAACAGCTGATTTATAATTGTAATTACAACTATCTATTATCGGATCTTAGACGAGATTTAAGCTTGCATCCACGTTTTTTTGCTGGTTTTTCCTGCTTTTCAGTACAAAGGCTTTTCATCCTTTGGAGATCATCCGAAAATATTATTTCCTAATTTTCTCTCCCAACTTTCTTCAACTTTTCAGAGTTTTAAGAAATAAGTGTTAGAAAGAAAACAAGACCATCATCATCCGCTTCAAACTTCGGATATACGATTTTTTGGAGAGATTATATCAACTTTAGAAGGCATCATCCAATGCAAAGATTACATTAATTAAGACGAATTTACTTTTAAAGCAATAATTCATCACGACACTATTTATAAATTCTTTTTTTTTAGTTTTTTTCTTTTAGTTGTTATATCAAAATTAACGTCTTATTTTTTAATAATAATACCAACATATTTTAATCTTACAAAGGATCGTGTCATCCTGACATAATCATATAAAATTTCTAGAAGAGAGCAGTGGTTTCCTTCTTAGCCTTGGAATATGGTAAAATTAAGGTTATAATTTCCGTATAGAACAAAAATAGTTTGGATTCACATGAAATTTTAACTATTTAAATCATTTCCAATTAATAATAACTGAAAACAAACTGTAGAAATTAAAATAAAAATAAAAAGGAAAAGAGCAATGAATGGTCAATGCAGTTTAGTTTCTGCAAATCTTGGTGGTGCTAAGATAGTATAGAAAATAAGTAATAAACTCCATCACCCATCGTAGGTACCCTAATAATGTCAAAGCACTATCTACAAAATTTACAGAAAATGCATGAACCCAGCAACCTTTTATTTTTATTTGTTTTTATATATTATTTTCTACACATTTTTTTTAACTACCGTGACCTTGATTCATTTTCGGGACTTATCTTATTGTTCCTTCCAAATTCGGCCCGCCACTTTCAGCTTCAGATCCTGCCTATCTCCACCTGAGAAGAAGAGTGCCATGTTCCTTTGAATGATGAGTCCATCTTGACTGTCTCGTACTTTCCGATGACTGTCACGAATGCTTCTAGGAACTCCTTGCCAGATGACCTTCCTGCCATAGCCACCCACTTCCAGGCTATAACTGAATTTTCTTGCCTCGTCCTCATCACCCATGAACCGTAAGAAGGCCATGTAAACCGGAGCCATCCCTATGTGAAAGGCCTCAAAGTGAAGGCAAAATTGTCGACCGAAACAGTTGAAAACCTGCGCAGATAGGACAGTCATCGACGGCTGTAAGCATGGATCAAACTGAATGGTATTCCATAGAGATGATGCATGAAAGTCTGCAAACTGTCACAAAGAGAAGAGAGCTTACAGTTAACATCCAGGTGGCGTTTTCGACTTCACTAGGATTGGATTTGACGTATCTGTGGTTGAAAGTGCAACCATCATGCATATCAACCTTGTGATCATTCTTGAGATGCATGACAAGATATGGAATATCACCGGTGACAGAACATTCGGCTCCAGCATACGGACAACTATAGGGGCGATATCTACAGTTTTTTTCATGCTTGAGCTTGCCGTAGTACAGGAAAATATCGTTACAACCCAGAATCTGGTATCTGCAAGGAAGTTCCAGTGACTCTGCTACTTTCTCAAGAGCTAAACACCTTATATTTCCGAGCTCATTGCCGCAAGTTGGGCAAGAGTTGAGAACTCTAGCCTTACAAATTGAACATACAGTGTGGCCATTGGGACACTATCACAGAAGATAGAAAAAAAAGTCAATAGAAGATTTTTGACACAAAATTGTTACAAAGATTGTAAAGCATTGATGAAATTCTAGAGATGCAAATGTAAAAATTCTTCTCAATCAGCTGCCGTCAGGCATCCAAAATAGTTCAACTAAGTAGCATAATTACAATATGCATATATCAGGATAGCAGTTAAAATATCAGCATCTATTATTCGATTACTGATCATTTAAATTATATTAATTTCTTCAATTTGATTGATTGAAGAAATATAATTTGTTTCACTTAGCATGACATATGATGTCTAATGCAAATCCCTGCCAATATGATTCTAATGCAAGCATAAAATTGAAAATGATAACAAAATACTTTCTAGATTTTTATTATCGGAATGTAAATTGAACCTACCTGGTAAATTGGAGGATACATTAAATTTAAGCAAACAGGACACTCGAGTAGTTCCTGCACGTCGTTTGTTGATGTTGCTCCCAGACTTCCACCTAAACCAGAAGCTGCCTTTCTTAAAGGAGAACCTCTTAACTCTGCACTTGAAGTCGCCATATCATAATCAGAATATGCAACTCGAGACTCAATCACATCCTTGCAGATACCGCCACCAGGTGCCATATTGTAGCTTTGAAAGTTAATGCCAGTTCACACTCTTTATTTAAATCTAGTTTAGGGAGGGTGAATTGGACCTCCTCTCTTAATTCCTCATCTTCAAAGCCCTAATTGTTTCTGCAATTCTTCCCGTTCCAAATATCTACAATATGCATTACCTGAATATAACAATGCTACTTGTTAAAAGTTCAATCTATCTGAATCAAGGGCGACCTCAAACTTTTTTCAGCAAAAACAATAAATGGCAACCATGAACTTTAGAATCAACTCAGTAAAGTCAGAAGCTACGAAGACATCTAAGATATGGATCGATGAAAGATATGAACTAATAAAACAAACCGAGAACGAGAAGACTCATTGAACATTGTTGCTAATACGGAATATGGCATCTTCTTATCTAAAACATCTAGGATTATACCCTACAGCGGTTAGAATGCGTCAACAGTATGGACCATTTGTCATCATAGAAAGGTACGAAGTACCAGTTTTCTTGAGCTACATGTCTTTTGTTATAAGTTCAAGAAGAAACCTGTGATGCTTGAGGAAATTGTGATAGTAAAGAAGTCTACCTGTTTAAATAGGTTGTACGTAGGAGAACGGGGAAGTGATTCTAGGCTTCGTTTCTTTGGGGTAACCAAAGGAAGGAATGATTATCAAATAAAGGAAAACATAAACACCCTAATGTTCATATATTGGAATGATATCAGTAAAGAAGATGAACAAAGCTTAAAACAGCATTCAAACTCAAAACCAAGGAAATGTAAATGTTCTACCCAAACATTTCAGCTTTAAAGTCAGCAAAAGAATGTTCTTGGATTCCTATTGGAAAATAAAATTCAGGAAAGGTATACAAATTTGAGAGATTATCAGCTTGAGGAAGAAAAGAAAACTTGATAGACTATTAAACACCCCAATGTAACTAGGGTATTGGTCAATATTGAAAATGACGTACATTAAGAAATAGAAATGCACACCAAATTTCTGTGCGGTTCTGACCAAACAATTATGTTCCGTATGCTTAACATACAAGGAAAGAACATCATTTATATAAAGCATTTACAAATCAACCAAACTTCTGGAGAGTATTCTAAGTTTCTATTGAACAGTTGAAATTCATTACCATTAATACATATCAGGACAGAAGCAAAATAGAACCAAATTAAATTCCTCCTTTCAGTTTTCTTCATATCAAAACAAACATTACTGCTTCCTACACTGCTAGATTTCCATCAAAATCTCTAAAGAAACAACATTAGCCCTATCGATACAATTTCACAGAAGCAGCTAGCTGAAACAGTGCTGTAGAACCACCACTGGAACTCTTCTATGACACATGAGAAGCGGTAGATTATGTAAACAAACTAAAGATGTTCACTGAAACAGTTTTCTATGTATTTCCTATTCCCCCTCACCCCCAACCCCAAGAATTTTAGTTCACCATCCTCAAATTTTAGTTCCCCCCACCCCAAAAAAAAACCAACATAAAATCCTACCTCCGTCCCTGTTCACAAGCAACTAATTAAGGCAGCATATTGGCCTAGCATCCTTGCATACTTTCAAGCTCTAACTCAACATCAAGATTACTATTTTCATCATTTCCCTGCTTCTTTAAGCAATGGATTTTGGGATTGAATATCTGAAAACAGCTCAGAACTAAAGGAGGGGAAAAAATAACAGGCCATAGATGGTGATTCAAGGTCCTCATGAGGCTCAGTCAACTGAAACAACCAACCACGGCAAAGCTACCAGCAAATCAAACATCTTGATAACTCAAAAACCCAGATTCAAATACGCAACCAAAATCAAATTCACCCAAAAGGGGAAAAATTGAAAGCTAATCAATAGATCAAAAAATCCAATCAAGAAGTGTAATACCCAGGTGAAAATTGAAGCTCAACAGCTAAAATAAACCAATAAAACAAACAAATAAGGGAACTCACCGAATCGCATGAAGATGGAAAGTAATCATGAGTTCAACAGACGAAACAACGGTGACTGTGAGAGCAAACCCAGCCTGGAAATTGCATGTGGAATATTGAAAATCAATCCCAGGTTTTAAGGCGCGGTTGCAATAATTGAATGGTTTGAGACAAGAAATAAAGGGGTAAACGTGGAGGAAAAGCCGTTAAAGTAGACTCCGCAAATTGCGTGTTCTAAAATCCTTAAAACAAGAAAAACGGGAAAGATCTCAATCTCCTCATACTAACTACACCTTGCACTTAAACTAAATTAAACTGTGATTTGGCTTACAAATTCACCACCCTTTTTATCACAAATATTATACATGCGAAGACAATGAATTTAGCAATTTCCAATGATAAGAGAACAAGTTGGTGGTTTGTTTGTGAGTTGAATTCGATGTCTGGTAACGGCCATGGTGTGTCGTCATTTTCAACTTATGGTTTTAAATGTTTGATTTACCTAAGCTAAGCTTCGAGATTTCCAATATGAAAAGCTGACATTTTCCGGTAGACAATCATGTGATTTGATTTCCACACAATTAGGCTGTTGTCAGTCTTGCTTGTTTATCAATAAAGATATATAGAGACGTTTAGAATTCATAGTAAATTAGTAATTTGGTTGATACAATCGGTACACATAACAATCTTTGTAACAATTTTGTAAGCGAAAATAGATATTTAATATTAACGATAGGAATAAGAAAATATTTATCAAAAAATAATAAATTAATTTTAACTATATATTTTTATTCATTTAATAATTTTAAATCTATGTAAAAAATTGTGATAAAACGTCGTCTATATTTTATTGATGTAAATGGATGCCAGCTGTCGCATTCTCGACAATTAAGAAAAAAAATCAAAAAGCATAAAAACAAGGCAATTTTTTTAATAAATCACCGGTGATTGATATATTTACAGATCTAACAACGGTCAGATTATATTTCTCGATCTAACACCCGTAGCAGTAAAGCGCGCCCCCTGAACCGCGCTATACGCTGATTTGGCGTCACGTGGGTATAGCGCGCCCCCTGCCCCGCGATATACGGTGATCTGGCTACACGTGGGTATAGCGCGCCCCCTGATCCGCGCTATACCTATGTATCTGACACGTGGGATATAGCGCGGTGCAGGGGGCGCGCTATACCCCTAAATACCCAACCCTTCACGTCCCCATCCTCCCTATAAATATCCCTATCCTCAATCACTTTTATCACACCAAATTCTCTCAAATTCTCTAAATTTCTCTTAAATACTCTATCTTTTTAAGGTATATTTTATAATATTTTTACTATTATGTATTTACTTTATTTAATATTTTACTAATATAATTCTTTTGCAGATATATAATGGAAGGAAGTCTACTTCGCTCGGATGGAAATCATATATCATCGGAGTTGAATTGCGGTGATTCAGGGTGAATGAATAATCCAGTCTCAGCACCATCCGCACCAGGCTCACGAAGCGGTTCTTCTGGTGGAGATGATGGTTCCTCCATGCTCTCCACATTTAGGTCGAAGAACCTACTACTTGCACGCCTTCCCCTTGAACTGAAAGGCATATCGACATTGAGATCGAAAAAGCTCGCAGTCGAATACCTCCCCCTAGAGCTTGAAGCCATCGTGTCAAATGGAAACTGCACAGATGATTGCGCCGATGGCATCTCCATATGGTCAAAGAAATTTGCAGATGAATGCCTTCCCCTTGAACTGGACGCGGTGTTGCCATACAGATTGTTCGTGGACCCACCTCGGTACATATAGTAAGGAGTTGCGGATGAATATCTCCCCATTATGGCATTAAAATCATTACACATTACTGTATTCGGGCTGTCAACTTGATCAACTTGTTCAGCCAGCCCATAGTGTGAGCTTAAAGATTGACCACGAACAGCACGCACTTGAACAAAATATGCATACATTTCAATAGCGGCATCTGAATAATTACTTTGAGCTTCAACCATCATTTGAACATCATCATTGTTCGAAAGTTCGAACGCTGTATAAGTTAATGACAACAATGATGTTAGAAATCTGTACTGCAATGACGACATTCTTCTGTTACTTCCAACATGAATCTTCCTCGAAATCTTCGTTATCAGCTCCTCAAGAGTTATGTTTCTCTTGAATGATATTTTAATATGCTCATTTAATACGAAAACAACGCCGGTTTCATCTTCTCGAATTTCACTATTATAATAAACAATAGCTGAAAGTCACGCCATTCTTTGAGTTTAAAAGTGCGACAATATTATATCTGTAAAAAAAATAACTTAAACAAACCTGATTAAATAAATTATATATGAACGAAAATATAACACAATTTGTTTTACACATCAACACAAATAATTTAAATAATATAATTTTATATTATTACCTGCACCGCAAAACTATTTCGACATATGCTCACGCTTTTCAATTTTACAAACATAAAAATTAATTAAAAATAATTAGTATAATATTTTTTCAAATAATGATAATAAACAATAAGTATAATTAAAAAATTATAACAAAATTACCTTATAATGAAAAATCGCACGAACTTCTAAATCAAATATAAAAAAATTGTCAAAATTATTACTCGTTTACGGAATTATTGTATTAATTTATAAGAGAGGAGAGATGCGAAGAGATGTGAGGAGAGATGTGAGGTATTTATAAACATATAAGGCGCGGTACCTGCACCGCGTTATATGTAATTATTATATAGCGCGGATCAGGGACCGCATTAAATATAATTTTGGTATGTCGTATAGCGCGACCCCTGATCCACGTTATACCCCTACGTGGCGTATAGCGTAGAACAGGGAGCGCGCTATACCCCATGTGTAACCCAGTTAGCGTATAACGCGGTACAGGGGGCGCGCTATACTCCACGTGATGCCAAATCAATATATAACGCGGTTCAAGGAACGCGTTTTATTGTTACGGGTGTTAGATAAAAAATATAATCTGACCTGTATTAAATCGGTATATATATTGATCACCGGTGATTTTTTTGATAAAATCGCCTAAAAACAAAGAAAGTGGAATTAAAGCCGCTCATGAGCAAGAACCCAAATCACTGACCTTTCCTTTCCCTGCGAGAGAAAAGAAACGAAGAAATCGAACGACAAGAAAATCACAAACAGATCAAATCGAGCCTTGTCACAAATGATACTTAGAAGAAATCAGCAGCTTAGGGGGATCCAACCATCGTCTGTTCTCTGCTGCCTGAAGAACCACACTGCGGGGAGCCTCCTTTACCCAGAATCGATTATCATTTCCAAGCGAAGAATTAGTAACCAATAGATGCGCCGCACGGTTGTATGTTCTTCGGAAGAACCGAAACTCACAAGTTTGGAGGGATGTTGAACGACCCTTTCCTTCACTAATCCATGCACTACTTTCTGATAAATCAGTTTCAAGTGAGGAGAGTTTGAGAACCATTGTGCGAGAATCACCCTATACAACAAAATTCCAGAAGCTCAAATCCACTAATAGTTGAATAGCATGGACAACCGCCACAGCCTCCGCCGCGAAAGCAGAGGTAATATTATTACAACGCCGCCTACCAGCTCCCATTATTTGCCCACTTGAGTTCTTGAGAATAACCCCTGACTAAGAGGCGTTTTCTGATTGCATGTAATGGGGATCATTGGATCCATTGGGACTTGGGAGGCGCCATCGAATAGTAGCCACTGGGAATGGGGTACGAACCTGCAGGTGAGCTTTTTCAAACTCCTTACATTGGGCCTTAATGAAAGTAACAATTTCATTTACATTAATCGGTTTGCCCTCGTGATAAAATTTATTCCGTGCGTACCAAAAAACCCATATTGTCACTAATATTTCACCATGCTTAGTAGCTGAATAAGTTCCAAACATCCATCTCAACCACTCGTAGAAAGACAATTGTTGATCATAACTTGGTAACTGAACTTGTAACGCTTTCCAAAGTACAATCGAAAAATCACAAGAACACATAATATGGTTCACAAATTCTTGATAGGATTGGCAAATGAGACGATAAGAGTCTAAGTGTTAAAAGTTTAATAAAAGAATCCGTCTTGTGAGCACAAAATTATTAGTAAACCTCCAGTTTTGCAACTTAATTTTTCTTTGACACTCGCTCGCCCATACTTTTTGATAAAATTATGCATCAACATGCTCAGTCGACGGTAACAAAAGCTTATACCCACTCTTAACACTAAAATATCCCGATTTCTCGCCACTCCAAACTAAACTATCCACTCGATCAAAGCCTGAAAGAGGAATGCCCAATATCTTGGATGTTTCCTCTGTCACAAAGTAAGTCCGTACTGCTACTTTATTTCAAGTCATTGTATCACTAACGATCAAATCCGACATCCTTTCCATATCTTCGATTGCCAAGGTAATAGAAGTATCAGATCTCACCTTCCATCGAAGCTTCTTTTCAAGAAGACCACGGGCACTCCATACCCTATGTAACGCATAGAGCGGTCGAGAACCCAAAGATGCGTGCATAAAATCTATGGATGGGTAATACTTGGCTCCAACAATCGACTAACCAATGAGGAAGGGTTATAGAATAGTCTCCAACACTACTTTGCCAATAATGCGGTATTATATTTCGCCAAATGGCAAAAACCATTCTCTTTTAATCGACTAACTCTACCCAAGTATACCAGTGAATTCCTTTCTTATGATTCGGCTTTTGCCACAAAAAACAAGCCATAATCACCTTAAGTTCAATGCAAAAACACTTGGTAAGGAGAAAATAGTTCATAGCAAAAACAGGCTAAGAGGATCGCCTTGTCCAACCTTCTCTAAGGTAAAAAAGTACTGCCTATATGCCCATTTATAATAACAGAATACGAGACCGAGCAACCGTAAGACTTCAAATCACTCCAATGTGTTGAAAATCCTAGTCAATCTAGAATCGCCCAAACAAACGTTCATTCTACTCGGTCATAAGCCTTGCACATATCTAATTTATGCGTAAAATACCCCTTTTTTCTTTCCCTTCACGTCGTTTAACAAACGAGTGAAGTAGCTCGTACGTCGTTATGATATTATCGAAAATAAGTCATCTTGGTACAAATACACTTTGGGCTTCGTCAATGCATAGATCCAATAAGCTTTGCATCCTAAACACCAATATTTTAGAAACAATCTTAAATAGAATATTGTAAAGGCTAATCGGCTGATAATGAGAGTGCTTACTCGGATTTTTTATTTTTGGAATTAAAAC